TTGTTCTTTTATTTTATTTTATTTTATTTTATCATTGTGGTCCTTCTGCACAACCAGTTATCTGCATTGGGTGTCCTGACTTCCCATGGCAAGACTATCAGGTTCCACCAGTATGCTGTGTTTACATTGTATAGTCCGCCAAGAAATACAGTGTATGGGTAGTCGCATTCCTCATAAGTGGGATTGGGCACTATGTACTGTTGGTCCTGTGTAATATGATAGCTTGACATATACTCCAAATGGCCCTGTCAGATATGCACCTTCATGAAACTTCAGCTTATTCCAGGATTGTTTTCCTTCTCCAACTCAGTTGACGATCCGAATATGGATTTATACGCCCCAGCGGCGCGTCTATCCCCAAGACGACTGAGAGCTGAGCAGGCAGGGGTTTGGAGACCAACACACAATGCCGAACACGTCCTCCAAACATACGCACTCAAGCATACAGCCGAGTACATTCTCTTCAAACAAGGCTATCGCGCAACGGGTATGAATCCCAGAGCTGGAGCTACATCGAGGATGAGTGGGAAGGGTGCCGAAGGAAACGCGCAACAGAATGAGACCGCCAGTGGGGGTGTGGAGAGTACGAATTCGCGTACGGATAGTCTACGGATTGGCATGGACGGAGAGAGAGCTGATACTGGAACAACCCAAACCGAAAAAACGGTACTGAATGCGCTAGACCTGCTCTGCAAAGGGTTGGGTGTGGCTTACGTCTGAGGCGCAGAGATGTGCCAAATATCAACGCTGAAATACCAAGCATAACTATATATAAACTGCATGACGGAGATTTAAGCTGCGTAGCAGAGGCGTACAAGTCAATATAACGTGCACAATGAACCGATATCACAACAGAAAGTATCAATCAGTCTCGACGTCAAAGTAACAAAAGTATACTAATCAGCTTTGAATGCGTGCACGCCACTACTTTTGATTGACAGCGGTCTTGGGTAGTTATAAAGTTTACGCTTTCGAATATTGCAAGACGCAGGTAGTACATTCTAAGCCTACAGATAATGAAAATCTCGAGGTAAAAAGACCAATCGCCACCGATGTGCATGAAGTACAGTTAAATACACTTAGAATTGATCCAAGGCTAAATACATGGCGGCGTATTCAAGAACTAAATATGTATAATGCATTAGCAAAATCTTAAATTAGTGAGCTGAGTGCGGTTTTTCTTCCCAGTAGCACAATTCACATAGGTGTTCGATCGCAATAGATACCTCACGTAAGTTTGCAATCTCTGATATATAATATACAAGTCCGTCAAAATGCCAAGCAAGCTGACATTCCTGCATGCCAACCAATTATCTTTACAGCTGTCAAACAATCAAATGCTGGTGACAGGTTAATTTTGATACAGCTGCATTATAACTTGTCCGTTTTCCACAGGGCAGGAATATCTGTGATACTTTGCAAAAAATAATGATGATGTACACTTTCACGGAATCGCACTAGTGATAACTCAAGGGTTCATATGTGAAAAGAGAATATTCCTTGAATTACACTTACAGATCCACCCGGGTAGCAATACATGCGTGACTAAATCTATGGCGGTCAGTATTATTTCACCGATATTATGTGAGGAACGTTAGAAAAACAACATAAATCAGCCTAAAGGACTCGAGTAGCCCTATTGCGACATATTGGAACCAGTAAACGGAAGGATGATAATACGGTTTCAGTTGAACACGCTCCGAGAAGAAAAAAATGTCCTGCAGGCTAATGCTCGCGAATGGAAGCAATGAAAAATGCATGTTTATCTATTCTTGTACCACAGGCAAGTCAACTAAATATATTATTTTTTGGGAATAATGTGATATATTAATGTTGTTTTACTATTTTATTTGGACTTTACGATACGACACACAATGTGACTGCGGATCACACTGCGTGTGTTTAACAAACTACCACATACTGGGTGGTGAAGTTGTTTCTATTCAAGGTTACAGAGCAGTATGCTAGTTGCATTGCTATTAGTGAGTATAATTAATATGTACATTAAGCTGACGTAGCGTCGTGTACAAGAATGAGCGGTGTCCGGTCTACGACTCATGTTCATTAGTGACGACTGGTGCTGATACATGCATTTGTAAGGGAAAGAGATGAAAAGAGCGCGTCAGGGTGGGATATGAGGAGAACAGATGATCAGAATCCTATGATCTTCACTTCATACTCCTCACTGGAGTAAAAATTTAAAGGAGTCATGTGACTGGAATGACAAATATGATGACTCAAACAAAATAGCTTTTTTTAAAATCGCGGTATTCATGTTGTTGTGCTTCCAGCCACCGTTAGGTCCCCGTGAAAAAGCATCGTGTAGAGTAAGGATTATTGCCCTAGCGTAGGATTACCGAACCCATGCTTAGTATGTCCATAATGGCGCTGATAATGGGTTGGGTAGTGTTGATTGCCAAAACGCGAGGTCAGTGGTGTAACGAGCTGATGCAGAATACCGGCGGCGACAAACTGATACTTTATGCTGAGCACCGGATGTTCCAGTGATGTCATCTATCCCGTCGTTATCTACCGTCGAAAAGATGTTGCACCGGATGTATTGCTATCCAAGGAAACGCATAGCTTGGTGCGGGTGTGCCTTGAGAGAAGCAAATACTTGCGGCTGTACCAGGTGTGCCTGTGTGGCGAAAGTACTCGGAACATTGTCGTGTCCGCATTGCTGAATACAATGTAGACCGGACTATTTATAATGAAATCCGGGGCTCGACAAGGAAGAAGAAATCGAGGAGTGCGCGCCAGTGTACTGATATGGCAGAACAGTTGTAAACTGTTAAGCATAAATCCTTGCCAGCTCTTTAGTCGATGTTGCACGGCCGTCGAGGATTAAAATGTACTTGTAAGCTGTCTTTAATTAACCCCATATGACGGTAGTCATCTGATTTAGTTGTGCGCTGACCAAATGTGTCTGTAGGGGCTACATGTTTTGCTCTTGTATCAAATAGACGAGGAATCGGTCGGATAGCAACATAACGCGAAATACTGCGAAAGTAATTAATTTCTGTGATATATTGGCGTGTTGTCCCGTCTGTGATACCGCTGATTGTAAACCAATCGTGAAACGTGGAAACATTGAAATAGCCAAATATTGAAATAGCCTAGTTTCGCGGGACGACATATTAGAACGGCTACGAACCACCAAGGTGGTGGTTGTGTGCAGAGACGTTGCGCCGTATTGACCGGATACTGCACGTCGCCGGGCAGCAACAGACGTAGACTGATTGCCATGTTGCACAGATTTGGCCACCAAGGTGCCTTTAACCGTAACGGAGCGATCAAAATCGCTGTGGCTGTTTGTGTCCTAAGTTGCTGAGTACAGATGTACCTGCTTGTCCTATCGTTGATAGTATGTTTTCGGGAACGGGTCCTTGGGTTGTTCTTTCACAGTCGATACTCACTCCGTAATTAGTTGATGAGCTACTTGGGGGCTCAGTGTCTAGCTGTACTGTAGCAGCTTGCCCGATCTTGATAGTGTGTCCGCTGTGGAGCTCAGCGCTCCGGGGATATACGCAACAGCTGCTGACCATCTCGCCTGCAGGCAATAAATTGACGATGTGAGAGTCAACAACTCCTGGTTCATGAAGTAGCTACGAAATTGACTACGTTACAGAGCTGCTAGTGCCGTCGTGGAAACTGCTAAAGCTAATATTGGCTGTTGGAAGTCGAAATGTTGGCGTTTCCAGAAGTGTAGAAGGCAGGGGGTTATCGCACGTAATTCCAGTACAGAACCGCAATTGGTCAAACTGCCTCCGAGGGAGACTAGCGCGCCAGGTGTGCATCAAAAGTCTCCGTCGTCAAAAAAATATTCTAAGAAGTTTTGATGAAAATCTCTCGTGGTTGGTGATTCGCCAGAGTGTATACCAACTTCTTTAGTTTCTCGAATGTAGAACTTGAGAGCTGGACGTTGGCTTGTCATGGGTTGTTTTTACGTGATTTTTTTTTCGCTTGTTGGCGGAGGTCAACTAAGTAAGGACTCGCTGTGGGAACGGCAAAGGTAGCCTGCTGGACAAACTCCAAGCATCGTTCCCACTGCTTCAGACCTATCCACTATTGCTTGTTCAGTAGCCTTTGTTGTGATTCTCGAAAATGTGGTGGTAAGGTTGCGGGTAAAACCGTGTGTGAGGCGGAATTTGCCCAAGTATCGTTGCCATTGCTTCGGACCTTAAAGTAGCGTGTTGGGTGCGGACTATCAGTAAAGTAGGAGTGTTACTAAAAAGTGGTGCGTTCGAATTGATTTCATTCGTGATCTCACCCCCAATTATATACTGATGGTATGTGTACTAATAGTGTTCAACCAATTAGATTGACCAGGGTAGAATTATATACATGTACCCATTTTCACCCAGATCTGACTATGCACGCATATGCACGTTATAGATGCACTGATAAGACACTACTTGTTTGTCCAGTATGTAGCGTAAGTCTGAGCGACAAGGCGAGCCGGAGGCTAAGAAGAGAAAGAAGTACATGCCACAGTGTATGTGTGGCATACGTGGCTGTATACAAGAAGGTGACATATATATGTCACTAGTGAAGTCAGTCAAACCTAATAACCAAACGCTTGTAAAAGAGGCTGATGTACGCGCTCTAGAGTGGCTGCACAGTGTACAACCAGGCGTTACACAGGATACTAGAGAGAGATGGGAAGAAGAATCATGCTCCGTCAATGCCAAACACTTTCCTCTGGACGAGCTAACTTTCAAGGGTAACTGGCAGATCGCGGTGTGCATCAACGCCAAACCTTTGCGTGAATTTCAATAGACGAGGGATTACCAGTTAGATCGAGTCACCAAATTACAGTCACACAAGCAACAAGTTGTTAAATGTATATGTACCTTGGGAGAGGATGAAAGCGGCGAAAACACAATGTTCGAGAATGGTCACGAGCTACCCCGTGATAAGAAACGAAACTCTGGGTATCACGTGTAGTTTTAGACGTTAAGCTGCAACGTAAACTGAACAAACAGATTGAGGATACTGACGGTCGAACAGGCTTACGAGTGCATAGAAGACAGTTTTCTCCAGATCAGTTCATAGGTAATACACCAAGCAAGAAGCGCAAACGTGTAACGCCAAAAGGAGATGCTGTACCTGTGTTTATAGTAGTACTTTCTACTGTTATGAATGCTCGCAAGTGTCCGACTAAACGAACAGAGCGCCACGAGATACAGAGCTTAGCAACAAGATGACAGTACAGTGTAGGCACAATAATGAGAACTATGGCAGAAAGATGCGAACGGCGGTTACCTTGTCAGATGTAGTATAGGAAACTATATTCATTTGCTATTTGTACGATAAGGGACTCACGAATCGATATCAACTGGAAAGACACTTGATATACGTATGTACGCAAAGAAAGAAACAAAACGGGCAACTAGACTTTTTGCAGCAGCGTGCAGCTGACGAGAGATTCATTGCCAGAGAACGCATAAACATTGAGCGAAACATGAAAAAATTCAGAAATTTTAGCGCCATAGGCTCGTTACACAGTCGCGTGGTTTCGCTATTCGAAGTTGATCTTGCAGATCACGTGATACAAGTGGCGAGGGAACTTGTGAACCTAAAGACACCTATACCAGACTGGTATATGAACAAAGCAAATGACATCGATCCAGATTATGTACGAGTTAATATCGAAAGCGTGGCGGTTAATATCGACGACTGTGTGGATACCTGTTTCCTGGGATAAGAATAAAAGTTTAATTAATCAAAATCATCGTCTATCTCTGGCACCATATTTATTTTAAGACCCCGATCTTTGTATTTGTTCGTTTCAATCTTGGCTTCACGATAAGTCACAAGCAAGTTGATATCTTCATCGCTGGGTGGTAAAGTTAAAGCCTTCCTATCCTCATAAGTAAGCGGATTGAACTGGCTACGGATGGTAGCGCATTTAAGATCCCTACTCATTTCTACACAGTCGGCTATCAGCTCTACGGAAGGCTGGTTTGCATTTACTTTTGTACCATTAGATCCTTTAATCCAAGTATTAGTTTCATCTGTTGAGCCAGCTGAGCCTAATTCGATGATGCGCTCAAGTACTGCCCGTACATGAACACAGTCAACATGGTTGTGGCACGGCGAGAACTCTTTTAGTTTGGCTGGGGTCAATCCGGTTGGAAAGCAGCAGAACGAATCGTCTACTAATTCCACCACAAGGTCACTGGTACCAGATTTTTTCCCAATGAGAAGGATGCATAACATATCTATGGTGCCACTTTGCATTGAACGACTCACAGCACCTCGCACGCACAATAGTTCCATCTTCTTATCTTCATCAAAGCAATCCTTAAACGCATATGTCAATGTAACACCCCGTCGGGCTTGTTGTTCTGTGGCTCTTGTGTGTACGCGTGCACTTCAAAGTAGGGTTTGACCTCCTTCGCTGTGATGTGTACTTATTGCACTACATTTTGATCATAAAGTTCAAATTTTATACCATTGAAGCGCCCCCGTGCATCGTCTTCTAACTCGATACGTGATTTCACTAGTGTGGCAGGTGCTTCAGGTACAATCTCTTTCTTAATTACTGCTTTGCATGCCAGCAGATTGTACCGAAGATATTCCACCAGGTTTGCCTTAGCTTCATATGCTTTAGGAATTGCGATGGATCTTTCTTTAGCATATTGTCTAAGCTGAATAGCCGTCCATGCTTTGAAGTTTGCCGTTTCCTTCTCAAAGTCTATAGACTCATAAGGCAATCCTGCCACACCTATCCTTTCCTTCCACACTGCCAGCCAGGGGGGACAAACAACATTGTACATTCCAATAACCCAGTTCCGTGTATCTTTCAAATCCATACCATATATGTATGAGGATGTTTCGTGCTTCTCTGTTCCGGAGTGAGATCGAGCAGTTCTAGCTTTTGCGTATATACCTTCTTAATGAAAGGCATGGAGCACTCGGTAGGCTTGTAGTATACTGGTTGACAGAAGAACATCAACTTTACTTGTATTATATCGAGCTAATTTTGTTCGATTTTGGCAGTGTTACCATTACGCGCAATCTCTAATCCCTTCTATATTTCTTAAGCATATTACATAGTATTCGTGGTGCCATGCCAGTGTTCTCACGGAAGTCTGTTTTCATAAGCAAAGCTGCCAGAAGAATAGCACGATCAAATCCTAGATCACATATACTTCGCTGGTATTCAGTCAACTTCTTCTGTGGAACGTCAAGCATGGCCTTCACCGCTGTTCTTGTACATTGAGACCGAAACAGAACATTCATAGAACCTGTCCGCCATCGGGAATCAACGACTAAGTTATCGCAGCCAAGCACAATATAGTCGGTATCATACACCATGATATAATCTACTAGCCCATCTACTTGCAAAGCAGCAATATGTTGCTCCGCTTCCTGTGGAGCTACAATAAACTCAATCCCCATGTCATTACATAGTAGCATAAGGTATAGCGCAGCCTCGTACTTGTACGTAGAAACTGCACCTCTACATGTTTTTGCCTCGTCAAAGTCCTTCTTATCTATCTCTTACCTCTGAAACGCAAACACTCGCTGTAGAAGCTTCTTCGTTTCTTCTGCACGACTAGCATTTGCTAGTTGCTCTGCCACCCTCTACCCGTCGAATACAGCAGTACACCTGCATTACCATTCTCATGACGAAGAACAGAGTTGTAGGAAGCTCACATAGCTTCTTTCCAAAACAATCTCTGATGCACAAGATGCTGCATGCGTGTGAAAAAAAAAGCTAGCATCGATGGCCACCACACCCTTGAAGCGTGACAGGGGTACTACATTCAACAGTGGCTCTATCAATAGCGTCAGCTCAGAGACACCCCTCTTAGCTCTCCTTAACGTGCGGATAACAATAAACAGACGTGTATATGTGCAGTTTTAGCGTGTTATAGTCAGATTTTGGTGAAAATCAGTACATGTGTACGTTATGAAACCCTAGATACAGGGTTTCTTATCTAGGGGCCCTGTTCATTTTAAGTCCAGGTAAAAGCTATATTTTCGATGTTTAACGCTAATGGGATAATTTGAGAATTTACTTTTACGTGCTCTCGGGCTGACCCACCTATACATAAATTAATTTGAGAACAAGTCCCAAATAATACTCTCGGGCTGACGGCGTAAAACGTTATTAACGTATTTAGAATTACGACTACTCCTGTAGTCTCTTATCAGGAGCCTTTGTTGGATACTTTGTTGGAACTGGCCCAAATCGAGGTCGACGTGTATGTCGAGATTGTCCGCCTTTCGGACTGACCTGAAGATGTGACATTTTCCACAAGCTAGTCGAGGTCATAGCATCCGCACCAGGTGATTACGAAGTTGCAATGCAGCGGTTCTGGGCTCAGGTACATCAGATCGTCCGCAGACAGTAAAATTCTTACCCCCTTTGCGTCGTGTATCAGTTTCCGGAAGGCGATCATAAGGCAGTTGAAGCAGTAGAGGATGAAAGTTGCGCCCATTGGCAAAGCGAAATACTCGTGCAGGTGTCCGTGGAGACTCCTATATGCCGTCATTTCGGATCTCGGTTTTTCAGGGCGAAACCCAATCACAAAAATCCGTTGTCATCCGTTTGACTGCGCCTGTAGAGTTGTGATAGTCGGATTTTGTACCAAAGGTTCCAGTTGATTTGCCTGGACGCCACTTTAGTTCTGCAGTGTTGCAATAACGTCTTGCTGTTGCTGCAGGACTTGGCGCGTTTCCTGGTCTGCCATGATAAGAGGTGATCTGCCGGAGGAGTAGTAGGGTCTACTCTCACCTTGCACGTGAGGAAAACAGAAACCAGAATGATCTTCTGTTCTTCACTTTTATACCCCCCCCACTGGGGTAAAAGTTCGGAGAGTCATGTGACGAATTACAGAGTTTTGCGATATTCCAAAAAAAAACAAAATACAGAATGACTCAAACATCAATAGCAATTGTAAAATTGTGCCGTTTTATTGTCTACCTACTCAGTGTTATGTCAGACTACGGTATTCTCAATATGTCAGAATAGAGAAACGGGTTGAGAAGTAGGAGATTCTAGTTATCGTCGCCCAGCATCTGTCACTGCTTTGCATTGTTGGCATGACACAATCAAGTCAAATTATGATCTTCACCCTAATAGGAGGTCCCGCAAAAAACTACACACAGGACGTCTCTCCACTCGCCAGAGAGCATAATTATTCAGCTCCGCCCTAAAGACTTAAGTGAGCTACCCTCTGCCCTCAGACGAAGCTACTCGAGGGCTTACCTTTTCGAGTGTACGAGGAGGGTATCGCTGCCTTCAAGGGTAAGAAAACAATCCAGAAATAACTAACGCGCCTTTGTCAAGCATAAACATATATATAAAGGCATTTTATGCTTGAGTCTTGGGTCTTCCCATTTCGGGAACTGGCAGCGGTCTACGATCCTTGCAAAAGACTCAGAAAGTAAACCCATGTGAATGTAGCATGATAGTTGGAATTGCAGAGGCCATACGTTTGTTGGAAAGTAGAGGAAATAGCCCTTGTCCTAGTCCTAGTCCTAGTCCTTGTCCTTGTCCTAATCCTAGTCAGTCCTATAAAATTGAGATGGGGAAGTCATAGTAAAGAGACAAAGATTGTTCGCGCAGCGGGAGTGTACATATATCCATCAGACCGGCAAAAATGATGACTTGCCTACCTAATCGTCAGTCGTGGTTGTTTTCCATTTTCAAAAAAGGCTACCTATCACTATGGTTAGTTTTTGTATTCTGTGTTCAACCGATATATATATCAGCAGTTGTTACCCAATTTAGACTAGGTTTAACTGGCTGGGAAGAATTGCTAAGCCACAATAAACACAAAACTGAGACACTGTATCCAAAATCCAGTGATATACGCAGTTGTGTCAACCGTGCTACACGTGTCCGAATTAATTGTTATTATATTTTGTGTTCCGTTTCGTGCCAGCTACCGCAATTACAAAGTTCTTTGCAGGTTATTTTGGTGCTTGGCTGCATATTGAGAAAGGATTTTGAATGCAGGTCCATATTGATTGAAGCTATCGAATCTAGCTATAGGTTAGTGCACATTTTGAACAGTACACTATCAGTAATCTTACCTGAGTGGAACACTGCTATTGCCACTGAACTGTTCAACTTCAAGATTTTCAAGTGCATTATTTACGCTTGAGCCAGATGCTGGAAAAAGATGAGATATATACGGTACGCGGGTAAATGGTCTTTACAATGTTTTGGCAGTACTCTTAATACATTCAAGTACTAAAATTAATGTGTAGTAGAAATTTGCATGACAATAATCATATACCGCAGCACGTTGACGGCACGTGATACCTGACTAGCGTCATATATATGTACACATACATATGTATATCCTTAGTTTCGCCACTCACAAATTACTTTGACATTTAGTATATTAATTAGAATTGAGAGCGTTGTAGTTGACTAGCTGGGTAGTCAATACTACCAACAGGTTTTTTGATCTAGTAACTGTCAGCTATTCACAGCTCACAAAATCTGGTTTTACTGCATTGTGTTGAAAATTATTTACAACGGATGCGTTAAAGAGAAATAGGGTGTACTCAAATCACATGTTAGTTCTTAAATTTTTTTTTTCTAGTTTAATTTTTTCACTGCCTCTGATATACACCCAATTTAAAAAAATGGTAGGCCACCGTACAAATAGTTTAAGAGATATTCGATGCTTTACAATATATCGATAAAACTCATATGTTCCGATGAACGAATCTTAAGCACCATATCACTCGACGGAGAGAGGTCTATTTGAATCAGGTATGCAAACCAATTGCATTTTTGCTGATCTTAAGTTCATGATCTAGATCTACATAAGGGGTTTTCATAAAAAAAGTAATTTCTGGTTGGGTTTGCGAATACTAATATTTTCTAAAATATTCAGCCGCAATATAGTACACTTTATACCTACTACAATTTTAAAAGTTGGATTAAGCTATTCGCAGGGATCAGAGAGGCTCCGTTCACTCTACAGTGCCATGCTTTACGTGGAAGCTTGTGTATTACGTAATCAACTCCAACTGCAGATGGGGATCAACAAAATAGAGAGCCATACCATTACCACTTCAACGGATCAAAATAGGAGGATACAACAATCAACAGAGGGTCTAACGTGGGCCTTTTTCTGAACTTCGCAATCAACACAGCGAAGTGTTTGGCCATGTTAAGTATACTTGTATTTAATGTTCACGGCACGATCTATTGCATACAGGTAATTTGTTTTTGAGAAAAACGATTATTCTTATATTTATTTAAAAGAAAAAGTAAACCCCGTCCAGTCAAGTTGCCGTCTCGTCATCGCTCGTAGACAGTCTTGCCTGTATTGCGGTACTTGAATCGAACCCTTCCTCCTCACCGCCCGGGACATTACTGTTAGTAACTTGTTGGTCGTTCCTGTATAGTACGCAATAGTCTATACCTCAGTAAAATCGATACCTGAAACGGCATCATCGCACCAGAATCATACCAAACTGGAATACAAAAGCAACTTGGGAAAAACCTCGTGGATCGCGTATAGTTTAACATACGAATAGGCCTACGCGTGTACACAGGCCTGCTTGTTTAACAATGCTGGGGTTTCTATCAAAATGTACATGTACTTGAGATATTATTCAGAACACCCTGAAAGCTCGGAAGTCAGAAGAATCACGCGCACGCCTATTAGGGGAATGTTCCAATGCACGTGCACACCTCACCTAGCTCTTTTTTCATAGCTCACATAATCTTTTGATTTCGATCCCTTTCGAATCCATCCCTTAGCCTTGCGGTATGTCGATGACAGCGCCGATTCACTTGATCTGACGATGGTATGCTCATCACCGCTCTGGTGGGCGAGTCAAAAATTGGCATTTGTGAGATGGGAAGCCAATTGGTCCATCTAATATTGCTTTGAGAATTGGCATTTGCTGAGAATTGGCATTTGTGAGATGGAAAGTCAATTGGTCGATCTGGGTTTGCTTCAAGAATTGGCATTTGAGAGATGGATTTTCAATTGGTCTATCTAGTTCTGTTTTCAAAAGTTAGCATTTGTGAGATGGAAATTGGATTGTTTAGTTCTGCAGTACAAGCTGTGATACGCCTGATACCAATATTGAGACATATGCGGTATATGACTAACGATGTGCAATTGCAAGGAATATCGCCAGTGATATGTACGGCCTGGTATAAAGGCTGCGAATGTCAAATCAATTCGGACTTGTGTAACTGTTGATTCACGGGACCAGAGGCAGACGAATGGACAGGGGCCAGTGGAGCTGAAAAAGCATGCAACGCAGCCAACCTCATATCCGTTGTTGATCTGTGCATAACTATAAACACTGATCACCCATGCGCTATAGCCTTACACGTTGTTGATCTATGCATTACTATAAACACTGATTGCCCAAGCGTTATAGTGGTGCATGGATTGATACGCACACAGCACTCAGAACTTTAGACCCGACCAGCAGGCAGTCCCATAACACTCACAGTCGTACCGAGGGTTCGTTCTCTGAGGTTGCATCGTTTTGTGCGTCTTGTGCGCGTCGTTTGGCTTCTCTCTCTTGCTCTCGCACTTCCGGATGATTCGAAATGCCCGACTGGTCATTCCCTCGCCCAGTCCAGACCAAAAAGAATTTGGGCAGGAAAATCAGGCACACAAATCCCACTGGACGATGAAAATAATTTGGGTAGTAAAATCAGGCACACAAATCCCACTGGACAATGAAAAGAATTTGGGTAAGAAAAT